ATTTCTGCAACAACACAGCAGGTCTCCACGCCTTCTGGGGAATGCCCCTCCCTCAAATCTTTTCCAAAATTCATTGGTCTGTTGTACGTTCCCACAAAGTTTAGGCTCAGCATGTCAAGACCCATCTGCTGGGAATGTTCACTGGGGAGACTGAACTTAGTTATGTTGAGACCCAAAAACAGCCTGTCCACTTGTATGGGGCATTCTTTTATGCCCTTTATTAAAGTTCTGTAATGTTCTCTGTGAAATTTGTACATATATTTCCTTATATTTGTCCCAGGTACCTTGCAGTTTTTGCTGCTGTTGCAAATGAGATTGGTTTGGAAATTCCATTTGCCACCAGTTGTTGATGTTTTATGCGAATACTATTCAGTTTACTTATTAAATATGGACTAAATAATATATATATTTTCCTAAAGAGTGGCAAAACATCGAGCCATCACCAAGTTTAAGGAAATACCGTGCTCTTATTTTCTTTTTTAAATATTAAACATATATATATATATATATATTTGACAGTTTTGCAAATGTCCCCCACTTCCCCCCTTCTCTGCCCCCTCCACCCAGCCCCTACCCCACCCCGGGCCTTCTCACAGTGTTGCCTCTGTCTATGGGCTGTGCATGCAAGTGTATAAGTTCTTTGGTTCTCTCTTCTCACCGCCCCCTCCCCCTCCAAGGTTTGTCAGTCGTTCCGTGCCTCCCTGCCACTGGACCTATTTTGTTTGTCGGTTTATTTTGTTCATTAGATTCCACAAATAAGTGAGATCATGTGGTATTTGTCTTTCTCTGACTAGTTTATTTCCCTTAGCATAGTAACCTCCAGGTCTATTCATGCTGTCGCAAAAGGTAAGAGATCTTTCTTTCTTACAGCTGCATAGTGCTCCATTGTGTACATGTACCACAGCTTTCTAATCCGCTCGTCTACTGATGGGCACTTGGGTTGTTTCCAGAACTTAGCTATTGTAAATAGGGCTGCTGGGAACATAGGGGTGTATATATTCTTTCTGATTGGTGTTTCAGGCTTCTTAGGATGTGTTCCTACAAGTGCGATAACTGGGTCAAATGGCAAGTCCATTTTAAGTTTTTTGAGGAAACTCCGTGCTGTTTTCTATAATGGCTGCACCAGTCTGCATGGCCACCAGCAGGGCACGAGGGATCCCTTTCCCCTACTTGCTCGCCAAGCTATTATTTTCAAAGTCCTCTCTGTTGCCCTCCTCATACCATCCTCTTCCTCCGCTCCTCAGGGCATTGCTTCTGTCCTGAATATTGTTTAAGCACTTTCTTGAACTTCTTTAAAGCTTTATCCCGTATGTTTCTATTCCCCAAAATATATGTTATGCTTCCCCTAGTTTTGCTTCTTTACAGAAGTGGCATCATTCTGAATATCCTCGGCCCCCTAGGTTAGGTACCTGAGGTTCAGCCATGTGATCCTCGTCATGATGCTACAACCCAACCCGTTCTCTCCTTGATGGCTTTGGGGTTGTTTCCAGTCATTTGCTACCGAACATCCTTAGACGAATTTGCTGGGGTACATGTGCAAACATTTCTCTGGGGTATATTCTAGGCTTAAAATCACTGGGTCATAGGGTGTAAACACCCCCAGATTTACAAAGTCACCCCAAATCCTTTTCCAGGTTTTCACACCGCCAACAGTGCGATGTCAGTTGCCACGTGTCCTTGCGAATGCTCGACATTGTCAGATTTGAAAATATCGGGCATATTTACGGTATAAATGGGTCTTTAATGGAAACTTCACTCTTAAATCTATAAATGGAGATAAAATGTCCTCACCCATCCCTTCTGCAATGTCGGCATAAGACCTAAAGTTAACCAAGGGAAAAGCAGGCATGAGCATCGCACAGTTCTCCACGTACCGAAGATGTTATCATCAGCAATAAGTTAAGAGAACTGTGGAGCATCAGTACACGATGTCAGAGCACACTTCCAGACCCTGCCGCGTTACACCTGCACACTTTCCAAACTCGGAGTGTCTGCAGGACCGTAGGCCAGAGGCACGGTGTCCTTTGCTGGGAGACAGACCACAGCCATCTGAGCCTGTCGTCCGAATAAGGAACGTCGTCCGAATCCACGGACCTGGTGGACGCTGGAGCCCGGGATCAAGATGAAGGATTAAAACGCCATGACTCCTGAGCACGTTTCCTTGTCTCCGTGTGGCTGCCAGAACATTCTTGCAAAATAAGTCAAGATGCATTTCAGGAACTTGATTGCAAATGCTTCAGAAATGCATAGCCAATGCCCAGGACACCTTCAGGGTGAAGGGATACAAACCTAAATTATGCTGACGTGGCATTTCTCTGCATAACTGGGCTCTATTTTTCTATTTTTTCCTTCTCCTCCTCCAACACTTAATCAATTTCAGGGCACTTCCCCGCTCTGTCCTGGGAGTCCCGACTTGGCCGTCTAGAGACCTGAGCATTCCGCAAGTGCAGGAGGTGATTCCGCGTTGCTGGCGCTTAGACCAGGAGGGTCTCGCCTAATGCCTCTCAGCTGGGTTAAAGCGCCCCTGGCTGCGAAGGTGTCGATTTCAGCAGCCAGTGCTCCAAGGCAGCCAGGCTGGGGGAGCTTCCGGATGTGCTCAGGGAGGAAAGCGAAGGGTTTTGTTCAGGTCCCTGCTGCTGGCTTCAGCCTGGTCGTGTTTCTGGTCAGAGCATTGGGAGACCGAGCGCCCACAAGATGTGTGTGTGTGTGTGTGTGTGTGTGTGTGAGTTACTACGCTTGTGAAGGTGACCAAACCAGCAAGAATCAGCAGGTCCTGGAGGCAGGAAGCAGTCTATGAGTGTGTGCAAATAGTGTGCACTTTAGGAAGGAAGAATGGGCATGAACCACCTGGAATTGCAAGATTTTTTTTTTTAATCCTCACCCACAGATATTTTTCTATTTATCTTCAGATAGAGTGGGAGGGAGGGAGAGAGAGAGAAACATTGACGTGAGAGGGGTGCATCAACTGGTTGCCTCCTGCATGACCCCAACCAGGGCCAGGGACGAACCGCAACTGAGGTATGTGCCCTTGACCGGACTTGAACCCATGACTCATTGGTCCGCAGGCCGAGGCTCTAACTGCTAAGCCAAACCTGCCAGGGCAAGGAATGGCAAGATCTTAACTGGTGACTTTTCTTGGTCTTCCCAGGAAGCAGTGTTCAGTATCCATAAACACCCGAAATATAGTTACTGAGCTTCTACTGAATGTCAGGCACGGTCGGGGCTCAGTCAAGAAGACATGGTCCCCGTCTTCCTGGGGCCAACGGCCTAGGGGGAGACACACAAGCAAGCAAGCAACACACTGGTGCTCAGGTGCTGCGTGTCAGAGGCTGCTTTCCAGAGACCGAGGGTGCGGGTGGCAGATAAGGGGTTTGTAGACTGTGGTACACGGGACATGGCCCCTTCCTGTGCTCCCACTCCCCCCCCACCGTCCACGAGCAGACTGTGACACCTCGGGACTCTGGCCAGCAACTCGGTCTAAGGAAGGGCCGAAGAGAAACTGCTTCTAGAGGTGAGCCTGGGGGGTGAGCAGCTCATGTTTCGATCTCACAAGAATCCACGCCCCCTCCCCTCTGCATGCCCTGTTTTCCTCTGTGTTCTGCGCTCTGTTAAACCTGTGTCGAGAAGGTCTTGGTGGAGGGGGCAAAAACAATAGCACCAGGTGGCAGTGCATAGGCTGGATGGGACGTAGCGGGACACCTTCACCGGGGGCAGCCGGGGTGGTAAACGTCACTGGTCACCCACCCCCGGTGCACACGCGTCCTGCTGCACCCACCACCGGTGCACACGCGTCCTGCTGCACCCGTGACTGTCAGCCAGTCCTCGGGGTTTCTTTGGGATCCGCCAGCAATGGCCGAGGCTTTCTGCGACCTCAGCACTTTGAAGAACATAGACCGAGGTGAGAAGTTCACCTTTCACTCGGAGTGAAGCCATGGGAATTGTTCAGTAGATGGAGGACCCGCTCGGGCGGATGTTCAAAGCAGTGTCCGGCGGCGGGGCAGAACCGGATGCCAGTGGGCGCAGTGGTGGCCCATCGCGGTACCGGCTCCAGCAGTCCAGCGACCCAACACCGCGGGGCTGGCCCGGTGCTTCTAAACGGGAAACAAAAACCCGATGGAGCCAGAGGCGTCTAAGCTCCGGGAGGGAGAGCATGGCCCATATGCACAGAAGGGAGTAGAAGACACAGCCCCCCAACGTCCCGTGTGACATATTTCCAACAATCCAGCCCCCCAACATCCCGTGTGACGTATTTCCAACAATCCAGCCCCCCAACATCCCGTGTGACGTATTTCCAACAATCCAGCCCCCCAACGTCCCGTGTGACGTATTTCCAACAATCCAGTCACCTAACGGAGACTGTATTGTAGGTTTCAGGACATACTAAAACAAGCTTCTTCACCTGCAGAGAACCAGCGTGGGGGAGGGGGGCCCGGGAAGAGCATGGGCTTTGGAGACCTTGAGCTCAGTCCCCTCACCAGCTGGTGACCTTTGGCAAGTGACTGAATCTACATGAGCCTCAGCCTCCTGCAGTGCCCGTCCCTGGGTTTGTTCTGAGGACTGACGTTTGCAATAGGTACCAGGGACCACCTGGCCCGTGGGTACTGTGCAAAGTATGGGATGTCCCCAAGCTCAACCCCTCCCAGGGCCTTAGGGGCACTCTCATGCAGGGGGTGTGAAGCAGACCCAGAAACACCTGCGCTCGGTGGGGACCGGAGGAAGGGTTCATCTTGCTAAGAGCAGCGACCTTGAGCAAGACCGTGTGACAAGCAGTGACATCCGCCAGGACAAGGACTGCCGGACACGGCTCCTCTCGCAGACCGTCTTTATTTGCATCACTTTCCCTGGGAGAGCGCGTCGGCAGCACTACTCCTCACGCCTCCGCGTCTGCGGCAGGGCCCCTGCACGAGGGCGGCGGCAGCGAGCCTGGCGGGGGCGGGCGGGCAGCAGATGTCGGGTGCATGCGAGCAGGTGAGAGAGGAGGGGGCTCGGCGGCTCCATTCGGGGCACCACAAACACGTTCTTGTGCTGGTGCTCAGGCTAGCTGTTCAGAAGAGAGAGGCAGGTTTGTCCCTCCCCTCTCAGTGTGAACAAATAAGCGGGTGACCCCCGGCGAGCCGAGCGCTGGGAGTAAGGCGAGGCCTCTAGTAGGCTCAGGGCAGGTCCCAGGGTCGGGGCCCAGCCCTGCTCCCCAGCCGTGGGGAGACGCGTGACATCTGAGAGGCTGCAGCAACGGGGGACCCGAGGGGACCATGGCGATAGCCCATGTGTCGTGGCAGCTGACAATTCGGTCCCCCTGGGCTCCCTCTCCGGCCGGGGCCACCTCAGCCATGGCGGTCTGGCAGGACTGTGGTCGCTGGCACGGGGTACTCCAGGGCACTGCAGTCATCCGACAGGAACACCAGGTCCTGAAAGAGGTGTGCCGTGAGCAGGACAGTCGCTGTAGGTGACGGCAGAGCCTGGGCACAGACACTGGGCTCCTGGCCGTCCTCAGAGACTGTTCGGTCGTTCCCTTTGGGTGAAAACTTCCCATCCCTCACCCCCCCAGGGAGAGCTAGTCACGTTGTCACGTCCCCACGAGCCCCACATTGTTCTGTATTACGCATTGAATTCACTCATATGGTTGACCAGATGGATAGCTAGGGGAGGATGAACTTCATTACGGAGCATCGGTTCTGGGCCGGGCAGTGGGGACACCTCCAAAGGCTGTTGTCAGTACCACCACTCACCAGACTGCATTGTTTAAGTCTCCTTCCTGCCCCCCACCCCCAGACCAGGGGACAGAGGAACGAGGAAAATAGATAACCAATCTTTGATGTAGGAACAAATAAACTATAACGTCACCGCTAATCATTCAAGTTCCCTGAGGACTTGTCTGGGCCAGGCGTGCTGCTAGGAATTCTACGTTCAGCCGCCCCCCTGGGGTTCTCAGGTCCGGGAGTTACCACAGCCTCCCGCACACATTCGGGGGGTAGTCAGTATTCTCCTCCGGGCGATCTCGGGACAGTCACTACTCTGTCCCCAGCACACAAATGAGGACACTGAGGCGCAGAGAGGTGAGGGGCTGCACTCATCCCGGAAGCAGGGGGTGAAGATAGGAGCTCAGGTCTGTCTGGGGCTGAGGCGTGTGCCCCTCGGATCCCACGAGGCTCCACTGCCCACGTATCAACCGTGTCGGTTCCAGGCCCTTCCTGTCCCTCCCCTCTTCCGCCATCGCAGGCACACCCAAGCCCTCCCCCACGAGGTCTCCGTGGCCTGGGAAGGGGTCCGGGGCTCACAGCAGTCCACGGCCCTCTTCCCGCCCGTGCCCCGTGTGGCTCCCAGTAGAGCGTCTTACACGGTTAGCGTGGGGTCCTGGAGAGGCTTGTCCCGAGTCCCCGTCACTTACCCAGGGTGACAGTGCTGGAGAAGGGCTTTGATAATGAGAAGCATCACACTACCGCTTCCTCCTCCTCATCCCCTTCCCGCCCAACCCTCCTTGTGTGAGCCTCGGCTGAGGACACTGATCGGGGATGTGGACCGCGTCACTCACCCTCCTGCAGAAGGAGTTGATGATGGTGTACAGTTTCCGCACTTTGTCCTTCAGGACGTCCACCTGGGCCACTTGCCAACACTGGGGCGATGCCACAAAGTCCCGCAGTTTGGCCAGCACACAGTAGTTCTGGGGGCGGACAACAGGATGGGTCTCGCGGGAGAAGCCAGCAGCCAGAGGGGCGGGAGCGGGAGCGGGGGGCTCCTGCGACCTTCCTCTCAGCTCTGCCCTCCCCCCAGCAGGCAGACCCTCTTACATGTATATCCAGGTACAGCCTGGGCAGGTATCTCACACACGGCTCCTGCAGAGAGGCATACAGGTTGCTGTGATGCTCACAGGACATGCCCTCAGCCTGGCGCAGACGGCTCTCTGCCAGCCCTCCAACGGCCAGACGAGCCCTAGATCCCTGGGGCCTGGGTGCCCACACACAGGACGTCCCAATACTGTGGCTTCATTCCTCCAGAACTCGACCCTCAGAGTGCAAACTTTCTATCATTAGCTCTGAGCTAGGGAGCTGTCTATTTGTATATCTACCACACCTATAAAAGTACACACACACAACTAATCTAGACACAGTGATATAAAAGCATCCTGTAGTGATACGGAAGTGCTATGCATTATTACACTGTGACATCACGGTGTTTTACTCTGTGCGGGACTGGAGACTAGAGACCCAGGTTCTGGTCCTGCGCTACCAGCGTGGGGTTTATGGTCCCCTAGCACCTCTTTTAAATTCCCGTGTGAGGGACAGGTCTCCTTCTTCTGTGTGACTCACTTTCCCAGTTAGAATACATAATCTCTCCACCTCCGCCCAGCTCTGTAGTTCTGAGCCTATTCATATTTTTACATTTTAAAATCAGATTCATATAAAAGATGTTTGCTCTACATATGTGATACCAAGAAATCTGTGGGTAAATCGTGGAGCAAATACACAACAGCACATCATTACAAAAGAATGTTCATATAATGTGATGAGGTCACTTAAAAGTAAATTGCAAAACTGCTGTGCTGTATGATCCAATCTGGTCACACACATGCACACATGCATGCACGCACACACACACAAGTGCACACATGTGCTCGCATGCACTCCCACACACATGCACAGCACATAAGCACTCATGCACACACATATACATGCACACATATACACACACACACTCACACACATGCACAGACACCCCCCCATACATGCGCATACATGCACACACGCACGCGCGTACACACACACACACACGAATACGTCTGCATAGACAGAAAGCCGAAATATCCTCCAGTATGTTACGGCAGCCATTACCTCTAGGCGGTAGAATTGCAAGTAATATTTATTTTCTTCTTTGTCCTTTGTGCATTTTCCAAATGTTCTACAAAGTATATAACTTTCATACTTAGAAAAAAGTAAACATTTAACTTTTAAAGAAAATACAAAGAAGGTGTTAGGGTACCATGAACCCCACATCTGAGAAACATCACTTTTTGTTTGAAGTGCTTGCAAGTGGTGGAGGGACACTTTTAAATCTTACCAAAGCTTTAATGGAGTTTCTAATTCATTTCGTTTCCGCACTGTAGTCAGGAGGCCCAGATTCTAGTTCTGGGAAGCCCCTGGCTCTGATTCTGAGCCCCTGGGTCCTTGAAAGGGTGGTGATGACAGCGGCTGCCCTTCCGGGGGTCCCCTGTGCAGGCCCTCCTCTGCCTGCATGTCTGCATTCACTCGGGGAGCCCTCGCAGCTGCGCAGAGGGGTGGGGGTGCTCAGCCACCCCCCCGCGCAGAGCAGGACCCCGAGAGGGGGCTGAGTCGTTCGCCCAGGTCCCGGCCAGGCGGGAGCAGAGGGCAGTTCTGAGAGCCCCCCTTAGCCCACTGGCCAGGGAAGAGAATCAATCAGCCACCTTCTTTGCTCCTCTTTAACTCCGGAGTTCTAGACTCTGTTGGGAGGTGTTTTCCCTCCTTTTGTACATTTTACCACAGATCCTCTGATATTCACTGGCAAGTTACAAGCAGAAATTGTGAAGTCTTTGATTATATTTCTTTGTACTTAAAAGAAAGCGCAAACCATTGGGAATAAAACACAAATACCCTTAAGATTAACAATGACCTGAAAAGAAAAACGGCATTTTTTTTGCAGAGGCGGGGGGTTCAGCGGCAAGCTTGCGGGGTCTGGGTCTGCACTGACCCTGGTCCCGGCAGGCGGAGGGGACTCACCGAGAGCTCCGTGGCCTGCAGGCTCTGGAAGTCCCCCGTGATCTCCCGGCTCAGGCCCAGCATCCTGGAGTAGCAGGTCGGGGGCGCAGGCCGCACGGCGGGGGGCCCCGCCAGGAGCAGCAGCAGCAGGGGGAGCAGCCAGGGTGTCATGGTGCAGAGGGACCTCCTGCAGCCCCAGGCTGGTGCTCCTTTAAGCAGCTGCCTGGGGGTGGTCCTCAACGCCTCCGTTTCCTGTGGGGCCCCGCCAAGGCCACAGAGCACGCCCACCTGGCCGGGGACACTGGATCCTTTCAGACCTGAAGGCCCCCCTTTGCGAGAGGAGGGGCTGACTGGGGGGTGCGGGGTGCCTGGAAGGGAAGGAAGCAGGGCCCTCTGCACACTCCCCACAGAAGCGTGTCCCTCAGTGCTTTGCTTGAAGCGGCGCAGAGGAGGGGGCGCAGAGAAAGCCAGAGGTGGGTGAGGGGCGGCCCATCAGAGCCAGGAGTGGGCAGCCTCAGACTGAGGACCCGGTAGGAACCAGGATGATTTCCTGGAGCAGAGCTGGGGTATGGGATTGAGCACCAGTGATCCAGGGCTTGGGTTAGGCAGCTGGGTGCCAACGTCCACCCACCGCTGACCAGCCAGGAAACTGTGGGTGGTCACCTGCTCTTGGAGCAGCTGTGTCTGGTCATCTGGAAGATGGGCTGGTGCTGGCGCCTATGGTGGGGGCTGGGCGAGCATGCCCCCAGCTAGCCCACTTCAAGCTCCCGACACTGTCCGCCCCCGCCCCCTGCACAGAGCAGACCCGAAGGGGGCCACGGGGTGCCCTGCCGGCCGCTCTCCTACGCCGGGTACCAGTTAAGGGATAAATTGTCTCCTTAGATGCTCGGTGGAACGCAAGGTTACTCACCTTTGGCAATGACCTTGGGTGAGTTTCTTAACCTCCCTCTCCTTAGAGGCGAACCGAGCTGACGAGAGCGCTCGGCTCAGAGGTCATGGTGAGCAAGACACTGTCTCCTTTCCTGAGCTGCAGGGCCTCAGAGAACAACAGGGCTCAGATAGTCCCAACAACTTGCCCAACATCACAAAGCTGGAGGCAAACAGGTCCCTTTGGACTCTGCCTGGTCTTCCTTCCATCTCCCCGCCCTGCCCTGGGGGGGACCAGGGGGAGCAGGACCTGTGAGTGGAGATGAGCACAGGTCCCTGGGCTGCCCGAGGCCATGAGCCAGCAGGGAGGAGGGGGAGGCTCTCACCTGACACGAGCTTCACTCAGGCACCTGCAGAGTGACACAGCCCAGGAAGCCTCACAGACAATGACTGAACCAGAGAAGTGGGGGGGTTATTCCCACTTCCCAGACCAGGAAACTGAGGGCCGGGGAGAGGAACCTGCCTGAGGTCACAAGGCTAAGGGAGAGACCACCAAAGCTCCAGACCAGTGTCTGCCTGTCTCCAAAGCCTCTCTCACCGCAGCTGAGGGCAGGAAGGGCCCAAGCAAGCGCACACCCCGGAACAAAACAATCGGGGGGGAGGACCCGAGGGAGGAGGGGAAGGAGCGCGATGTCCTGGCAGGGGTGCTCGGGACCAGCCACGGCGCTGGCGACCTGGCTGCAGCCTCGCCCGCCGTTGGCCTGGTCCTGGTGCCCAGTCTCTGTCCACAAACAGTGGTGTCAGCCTGGGCAGTGCCAGAGGTTCTGTTGATGCGGTTTTATGCTGGCAAAGCCTCGGTCAGGGATCACGGTCATGCCTTCCTGTGTTCTCTAAACACTTTAGCGAGGTGACCTGGGGACCGTCTCCTGGGCACCCTCAGACAGGGCAGGACTGGAGGTACACGCAGCAAACAGATATTTTCCTTCTGGATGAAGGAGTCTCCTCCCTCCCTCCATGTGGAGCCTGGGGCGGGGGCCTCCCCGGCAGACAGGCTGCCCAGCCAGGGGTCCCAGGTCCCCTTTGAAGTCTCCAGGGCGTCTAGATGTGCTCCTCAAATGAGCGTCACAGTGGGACTGGGAGGAAGCTAAGCCCAGGCACCGTGTCCTGGGACCTTCGGATCCAGAGCAATCTCGAGCTAGAAATCAGGACCCGTCGGTGCCTGGAAGTCGACGTGCTGTGTCTCAGAGAGACCCCACCCTGCTTCACTGGGGACACCATGTGCGGTCATCCCTGGGCTCCTTGGGCAAACCAGAGGCACCCTGAGTACCAGACCTGGAGCTCAGCGGGTTCGTCAGCCTCCCTCACCCACTCGGAGCTCCTTTTCACATTGGCTCGTCAGCACCCAGCACCCAGCACCCAGCACCCAGCGGGCAGAGCAGAAGCTCGGGAGGGCTTTGCTGAATTCACCTGAGGGCTGTTAATCTTGTTACCCAGAGCGACGCACAGCCCATTCCAAACCCACAGAGCACAGCTCCAACCCCCCCGCAGGCTGCCCAGCCCTGCCCGGGGCGCAGGCAGGCTCTGCTCACAGGTCCCCTTTGCCGATCGCCCCTGCAGTCCCTCAACCCCCTGCCCCGGCCCCCTTCCTCCACTCCTTCAGCATCAGCTGCTCCATCTGGAATGGGAATGTTAAAAACCAGGTGGGCCCTGACCAGTTTGGCTCAGCGGTTAGAGCGTCGGCCTGTGGTCCGGAGAGACCCGGGTTCGGTTCCTGCGAAGGGCACGTACTTCGGTTGCAGTTTGTCCCCGGCCCTGGTTGGTCGTGCGGGTGGCAGCCACTCGATGTGTCCCTTCACGTCGATGTTTCTCTCTCTCTCTCCCTTCCTCTCTCTCCCTCCCACTCTATCTGTACAAAAAAAATGGAAAAATATCCTTGGGTGAGGATAAAAAAAAAACCAGGAGGGAATTTTCCTCAGACTAAAGCCTGTGTCTTCCCCCAAGGGTTTCTCCCATCCCCTTAGGTCTAGCCGGAGCCTGGGCCCCGTCGTGAGTGGAGCCTGCGGGACCTCGCAACGTCCAGGGAGCCCCCCGCCAGAGCTAAGGCGCACTGGTCGCACTGGTGCGTGTGTCCCAGCTGGACAGCAGCATTTCCCCTGGGTGGATTCTTCATTCATTCGCTGGACACAGCTGCGTTTTGAGAGTCTCCTAAGACGGGCCGTAGGGATGGATTGTGAACGGGGCAGCTGGGGCTTCTGTCCTCACACAGGAGAGTAGGGGGGTCGGTGGTGGCCTTCGGGATTGGGTGCTGCACCTGTGGGGGAGCAGGATGGGCACAGGCGTGTGCAGGGGTGGGTGAGAGGGAGAGAGTTCGGAAGAGGCTTTGGTGCAGGAGGCAGAGCCGCCAGCCACGGGTGCAGGTGCCTGCAGAAGCTGGGCGAGAACAGGGCAAGGACTCTCGACAGAGCCTCCAGAAGGATGCGGCCTGCCCACGCCTGATCCCACCCCCGGAGACTCGTGGTGCATGTGTGGCCCCGGGACTGTGAGAGAGCATGTCTTGTTGTTTGAAGCCACTCAGTTTCTGGTGACTCGCCACAGCAGCCATGCAGACTGATACCCCACCTCTCTGGGGGTCGGTGCAATAACAGAGATTGAAGTTGGGAGGAACTTGGAAATATCGACATCATCCCGCCTGGTGCTTGGGCTTTCTTACAGCCTCCCTGTCGAGTGCTCATCCAGAGTCTGCTTGCACACCTCCCTGGATGGGGAGTTCATTGCCCCTGAAGTCGCCTTCTAGTCTCTGTGCAGCTGTAACGCAAATTCTTCCCAAGGTGAAGGTGACATAAGGTGACGTGTGGTGACTCCAACCATTCCTCATTCTGTCACCACCATTTCCTGAAACTTTCCATGGAAAGCATCTTCAAGACCCCTTTCCACAGTCGCGTCACATTTGGTGTCTCTCTACCAGAGTACCAGCTCCTCCCGGGACCAGTTCTGACATGGAAGTCTTCGCCCGCTGTGCCACCTTCTCCCTGCTCCCTGGGCCTGGGTGGCAGTCTGACGTCTGTAGCCAGGTCTGGGTCCAGCTCTCAGCCAGTCTGAGCTGTCCCTGCTTGCACTCCCACTCGGGTGATGACGATGATGACAGTAGCCAACGCCGAGTGCTGCCTTGCTTGGAGCTGAACACGTGTGAATGCATTTATTCTATCATCGTTTCCAGGCACCGGGGCACTGAGGCAAAGTGACTCCCTCCAAATCGCACGGACTGCTTCCGAGGGTTCTGCTGCTTTGGTTGAACCTGAACAGACATGCGCACCATTATCTCTGGCTTAAAGCCGGGTCCCTGTGTGGGCACAACGTGGCTGCCAGTACAGGCTAGGACACATGTTATTTTGTCCCTGTGCAGAGAGGTGACATCTCCTCAACCCCTGGGGAGAGTCCTGAGCTCCATGCGGGAAGCACAGCCTGCCCACGTCTGCTTTGCGACTGAGTGTTTTCTAGCCTGTTTTCGTGTTTCTACATGAAGAGCATTAACCTTTCCTTCTGGCTGTTCAGACGGGCATATTCCAATGGGCGATGGAGGGGAATACTTTTGTTCCCAGCCCCAAGGGGTATGGAAAGTTCCTGAGCAGACCATAGCCATAAGAGCTCACTGTTTTCTTGGTCCCTGGTTCCTTGGCCCAAACGCAGAACCACACCTTCCCCGAGTGATCCCTGTGTTCCTGTCCGGTGTGTGTTTGTGATGGCAGCCGAGGTCGAAATGGCCCTGGCCAATCCCAGGTCTCCTCTGTTGCCCAACATTCAGCCCGTCACTGTCTTTGCCAGTGATCGGAAGAGCCCAGCGTCGGCTCCCATCCTGTGGCAAACACCACACCAGACACACACTGAGTCTGAGATGCTCAAGTCAGGGCCTGGCCCCGGCGGCCACCTCTGGGTCTCTGAGGGCAGCACCCCGGAGCAGGGTACCCGGGTACATGCACGGCCAGCTGGTACAGCGGGGGAGTCGGCTCAGCCACTGGCCAGACGGCTGCGTCCGGTGTTCCTGTTGACATCCGTGTTTCTTTGGTTACAAGCAACACATCTGCCCCGGCTATGGGATGTGGCTCTGAGCTTGTTACTTGCGCTGTTGGCAAACCCAAGTGGAAAGTTGGCCCACACCGTCCAGAGGAAAGGAGCGGAGACAAACACCCAGCTTGGGCTTGGCTTTGGGGCAGTGATTATGGAAAAAATCCCGTCTTCTAGAATAGAGACCCCTCTATTAGCTTCAAAACACGGATTCAAAGTTTACTGAGAAAAAACGTGCAGGA